TTCAATTCATTAAAAACACTCTTAGGGAGAAAAAGAAAAAAAAGAAACACAACATGGTATATGTTAGAATGGTACTAACAATTGGTTTTAGCAACACTTCTTTTGATAACAACAAATCATGCCATTTAGAGAGTAGTTTCTCTACTCTTTCAATTATAAGGGGTTTTTTGATCTCTCAATGTTAGTACGAAGCCCCAAATAAATAGATGGTTGGTCAAAATTTTTTTCATTTTAAAGAACCTGACCAACAACATTTGAAGTTTAGGATGTTTTAATAAGGCTTAGTTTGGAAAAAGTACAAGTACAAATGTTTAGTGTAAAACCTTATACTTTGTATTAATTTGTATGTATTTGTATTGTACATATTTGTATTTGTATTCTTTCCAAATTAAGCCTAAAGAAAATCTTTGATTTTGAGAAGAAGTTTACCTATTTTACGAAGGCCCTTTTATAGAGCTTGAGAGCATCCAATAGGACTTGCCCTTTCCCAAGGTCACATATAAAAATATAACTATAACCTACAAAAACAAATGAGAGACAATTAGGCAGTTTCTGGTAATTTTTAAGCTAAATATATAACCCAATTATCTCCAAACCCCAACTTTTGTAGCACCTTTTCAAGAAAACTCCATTTGATCTTATCATAGGCTTGCTCATGTCCAATTTTAGAATCATCCATTGATTTATTTTGTTTTTCTCTTTCATAAAATCAATGATTTCGTCAACCACTAATATATTATCTTGGACTTGGAGTGAAAGCACTCTAACTTTGACAGACTATTTTTCCTAGCACAAGCGTATGCATAACTCTACTAATAATGGTTTTACAATTATTTTATAAACAATAACACAAAGGCTTATGAATTTGTAGTGAATAGTTGATTTAAGATTTTTAACCTTAGGAATTAAAGCAATGTAAATTACATTAAATTCGTTAGCTATATTTTTAATTGATTGAGCACAACGTTGGGTCATGGGTGTATCTTTTTTAGTGCACCTCATACATCTATTTTTTTTAATGAATTCATCCATTAAGTGGAATTAAGGTTCCTGTTTCTCTTTTCGTTAGTCTCGTTCAGAATTAATCATGTCATGTGGTACACCTTTCAATTTGTTTAGAATTTATACTTTATTATAAAATGCAGTTGTCCTCGTTAGACTTCTTATATTGCTTCCCAACTTTTTTAAATTTTGTGTTTTTCTTTTGAATTTTAAAAATAAAAAACAAAGTATAAAGACTTTCTAAGTTCACCCACGACCAATTCAATTAAAAACATGGCCATGTTTTTAACAGCAACGCATGAAATACATGTTTCTTGGTAGCCTATGCAGTCGGACTGGTTGACCCAAGAACCTGTCATGGCTTCAGGCCCGGTTTTGGACCCCAAAATCACCTGACCAGTTGGATCAGATCAGACCGTTTGACCTAGAAACTGGTGGCAAAACCTCTTCTCTCTCTTGTGTTCCACAATGCCCACTTTCATGTAATATTTGTATTATTCACTTATATGGTCAAAATCTCAAAAACTTATAAATTCACATCAACGCCCCACAGTACATCCCAATTGTGTATTGGGATTTGGGAATATCTCCCAATGATAAGTACGGAAAATGTTTTCAATGCATGCTAAGATGTATATCTAAGACATTTTTGAGGTGCTTTTTGTGGGGCGCAGATGTATTGAATTCAAAATTTATGGTAATTTTAGTCCGAGAAAATATGTTTTTAAATTAGGAAATTAGAGCAAACCTTATTATTTTATTAATATATTTATATTTATATCAATTATATTGATATAAATATAATTGATATTTATATTTATATGATTTTCTTTTGGAAATAGAATTATAATACAAAATTTAATGAGGAAAATAATAGAAAATGATACTAGTAAGAAGAATCAAATATTAAATGGGATGGGGCCAAAAAGTAAAACCAACAAGAAACATACATACACACAATTTGATTTAACATAAAAAAGAAAACATACATACACACAATGCGCACACGATCGAGCATATACTTTTCCTATAAATGGGTAGAAAGCGAGAAGGCAAGCCAATTTAATGTGACAAACCTCTTCTCCTACCTGAAATATTTCAACAAAAATATAATGTTCTTTTCATCAGAAACGTGGTGGAAAGCTAATAGCCAATTTAGCATGAAAAAAGCTCTTTTTCATTAGAGACGTGCCTAAATGATGGCAATTTCTTTTGTAAAACTGGGGCCCTGCCCCACCCCATCCCGAACAGGGTGGGTTTTTTCCGATCCTAAATAAGGATGGAGCGGGGATGGGGAAAATAATTTTTCTTCGAACCGGATATGGGGTGGGGGCGGGTTTTGTATATAATTCCCCGAATCCGCCCTGAACTTGAAGGTAAATTAGTAAAATATATCCAGGTTTAATATTGATATTTAAAATATCTCTAAGTTTTTCCTAAAATTTTTAAAATCTTAAGATCCCATAATTTTATTTTTGAATTATTCCTAAAGTATTATAATTCAATTCTACAATACCCTCAAATTCCTATATCTTATGTATAAATTGTCCATAAAATAAATATTTTTTAAGTAATTGCGTTAAAACAGAGAAAATTCAGGAATTCCCATCCCCGATGGTTGATGAAGAAATGAATGCCCCGCCCCACCACCGGGAACGGGGCAAGGTATCGTGACTTCAGGGCGGGGCCCCGTTGCCATTCCTAACATGCATAATCTGCGGATGCAAAGTGTTTGGTCATTTCAAGTAAATCTTAATTATATGCTAGTACAAATGTTTGTCCATTGCGACTTTAGATATTTACACACTCTCTCTCTTCACAGTTGAATTAGTTGCAGTTGAGAAACACAAATTATCCAGAATTGTAGTAGAGAGGTGAGAATTGCAATAGATTTGTATTTGTAGGTTGTTCGGACTTGCTGCTGGACTCGAGGTCCAGGCTTGCAAGTCATCTGGACTTGTAGTAGGTGAAACTCACAAATCCCAGAATCAGAATCACAGCACTTTGGACTTGCAAAATCCATTACTTATCAGTTTTGTGGGTCTGTCACAGTTTAGGGGTTTCTCAAGAGAAAAGAGAAGGGGAACTTTTCAGCCTTCAGGTATATTGGATTATTGGGAGATAGGGTTTTGGTGAAAATGTGAACACTATAACTTAGATCTCTATTGCTCGATACTCGATTTATCTTCTTTCTTGTTCTTGGGTTTGTTAACTGAAACCTCTATTTTAGATCATTAACCTACAACTTTTTATTGCCCAATAACTAGCTGAGATGATCATTTGACGTCACTTTGAATATAGAGAGAGGCATGGGATCAAACCCGTGTAACTGTGGATCCATTTGTGGTGTGGTAAGGTCGGTGAACGTTAATTACAATCATCCTATTGAGCCCCCGACCCTTAATACCCCAATAACATGTAATATGCACCGTTTTTCAACTGTTGTTAACCGTCCTAGGGACCATTTATTGATTCCGTTTTACCCCTAAGGCTGCAAATATGTAGAGTGTAAAATGGTTTATATAAATTATAAAGTTGGGTTAGTTTTGCGCGACAAATTTACTTTCTTATCAAATAGATTTTTAGCTGTAATGGATGCAAATAAGAATTCCAATAAAACATATGCCTTTTTTTTTATCAAAAATTCACTTGAATATAAATTTACTTCTTTTTTATTGATGTACTTTTACATCTTATTATCAATGTAAATATGCATCAAAAAACATGTTTTTTTTGTCATTTATCAATGCATAAATGTAATTAATGTTGCCAAACACAGACAAAAGTGAACCAGAGTGTAAATTTACCCTAACCGGGAATTATACTCCATTTGCATCGTTTCCAAACACAGCCTAAGGTCCTTTGTAAAAAAACTGTTGACTTAATCAATGATCCATTGACTCAAACTGTCGATCTATTTGACCTAGACAATGGTTTTGTCCATTTTTATTTATTTATTTTTTAAGTTGAAACAGACCATCCATTTGAACCGGTCAAACTATTAACCCGAAAATCGGTGGAAAAAAGCCTACTAACTTTATCCACCTATATACATGTTAAGGATTTTGGTTAAGAAAAACATAGAAATAAGATACACCATATCCGGCTTTGTGATGTATTCATTTGTGACATACTGTATCAGCAAGTGCAACACATCTTGTTTCCAAGCAGATCCCAACTCTGAATTGGGCCTGCTGCATTGGTTCCGTCCTTGAGGAGAGCTGTACTTGACAGCTGTTTTGTGGGCTGTGGGACGGTTCATTACATTCCACGCCAGCCATAAATTGCTCATGACCCACAAGACCACAACCACTCAATCTCTCACTTGCTTTTGTGCCCATTTGGAAGGGTTGAAGCTTCGCACCTTGAGACCTATATGTTGTAAACTTGTGAGTTGTCTATTTTATATCATGGTTTTTAAAACTGGATCGAATCAGACGGTCAGACCGAAAAAATTGGGAATTGATTATCTAATTGGTTTCGTTTTTCTTTAAACCCGTTTTTTCTTTCAAAACCGTTGATTTTGGTCAGTTAATCATTGAACCGACTGGTTAACCATTTGAACGGTTTTTACCGTTTTTCAAATTTTTTAATTTTATTTTTATTTTTTGTCAAAACGGACCAGCTTTTCAGATTGAACGGTCAAACTGTTCGAACCGGTAACCAGACCCTTGACCAATTCAATTTTAAAAATCATGCTTTATATTGCTTATCCGGAGCGCCTCAACAACTTTCGTCAAACCAAGTTAACCGAATGTTCAGCTAAAACCACCCAAACGCCTTTTGCTGAACCACTTTCAAGAAATTAAAACAAACTTCAAAATAAACCCAATTTTTTAGCTGAATGACAATCAGATTGGGCTTTGGTTGTTCACCAAACTTATTAACTTAAAGGTTTGAATTATCCTTCATCTTAAAGGAGGAGTAAGTTATCTTGTTGATTTGCCTTCACCATTTTGTTGAAGTTGAACTAAAATATTTTACGACTTTTCTTTTTCAGAAAACTGTTGCTGATGGTGCACCAGTCATTCCAATTTCTGCTCAGTTAAAATATAACACCTAGAGCATTATCACTAATGTTTGTTTATTTGGGTCAGTTGATAAAAATGTTATTTAACGTTTTGGAAGGCATGATCGGGTTCCAATCAGACTTAGAATCTGGAAAAGAGTGGTTCCAATCATCAAGTCATGCTCGGGTGCAGCAGCAAGTTGATTTGAGTGTCAGACAGGGTTTCCAAAACCAGCTATGCTAGCGGACTGCACAACCAATCTTCACTCTGATGCTGAAGTTTCGAACAACATGATTGTGGATAATAAGTTCATTGCTTTGCAAACTTGCCATTCTGGTGTTGCTAGTGATCAGGTTCCGAGTTTCACCTTGTAAAGCTACAGAAATTTGATCCTTGGCCAAGTTGTCCTTCATGAAAATTTATCAATTACCTTGCCAATCTATGAAATCATTTCAAGTCCGATCAGGTGTCATTATTTGTAATTGAAATTATTTTGTAAATTCTTTTATAAATCAAGAATTTTTCTTGTAGTGATACTTAAATGTCCTACTTTTTTATTGCAGACACTTGCTTGAAAATCTGTTCCATCTCATCATCTGTTTAAACAATAAATCCCATGCACATCAAATCTTATTGTAGAGGGTAAGAGCTCCAGTGGTGTTTTCTGTTAATTGTGTTTCGATCACCTGCACTATAACCGARCGTCTTTTCAAACTTCGATTTGTTAAGCTTTTAAAAAGAGAAATCAATAGTTATTTCGGATTATTTTGGTTTTCTTTTTTCCTTCTGTTTCTATATTCTTTTTTCTGATGCAATATATTTGCTGTGGCCATCGAATTCGTTTTCTTGACAAAATGCTGATTGAATCTGCAATCGATAATCTTCTATTCTCAAAGCTATATAAACTGAGAGAAAGGATTACAGGAGTGCAGGAAAAAATGGGGTAGATGGAAAATCGATAGATGTTGAGGGATTATTGCACATGATCAGCAGAGTTTTGCAACAATCGGGATCTTCTATTAATTGATACAAGAAGTAGAGGAAGGAATGCAGGGTTGGAGTTATATAATTTATTGTTGATAAAGTGCAGTAGTATAAAGCTGCAATCTGGCAAATATAAGCCATAGACTAGATCAGAATATTTATCCTTAGTAAATCATATATTTTATCGGTATTTCCATGGCCCATGTGGTTTGCTCTTTGTAGCTTGAACAGGTTTTTCAATCAGATTTCTTGGAATTCTTCCCAGGAGCCGTTCGAATCGCTTCAGCCGCTTCAGAAATCTTTTCATAGGCTTCATTCATGCATGAAACGAACAGCTGAGAATCGATGAAATCCTTTTCTGTTCTCACGGCCACCCTCAGCTTTCCCATGTAACTCACTATGGTAAATACAAGGCTCTGTAATCCAACAACGTGAAGCCAAAATTAAGGCTAAGTGTTCCATTTTTACAGCTCACCCAGAACAAAATTAAAGAAATGGCTTATTGTGTTATTCTGTTTAGGAAAGCTCTAATATAATTAAACTAGCATGCTTGAGGCTTGATGCCAACATTCATGAATTGGGTTTGCAATGCCAAATCCAATGAAAAGCTTGGTAAGGATTTCAGAAATTAGATTTAAGCAAGGAATAATCACTTGTCTTCTATTTGATTTTGATCTAATCCAATAACTATATGAAATAAAAAAAAAAACTAAGGTCTATTTACTTCTAAAGTTGGTTCAGGCATCATTTGTTCTTTCTTCACTAAAGTATTGATATGTTAAGCTTAAAAAAAAAAAAAACTATGGATAAGTTAGAATGTATAAAGTTGATAAGTACCAGAGGACTTTTGTTGCATTTTTGTTTTTTCTTTATTTATTAATATTTTTTGTCAGCCTTTCTACACTCTTGTCTATGGATGTCTGTCAATGGGTTGGGCCCATAAACTGGACCCAGTGGTATGCATCAAGCCATCAATCCAGTGCTGTCCAGTCCAAAGTCCAAAAGACCAAAACTCTATGACGTGGCCAGTTTCTTGACCCAACAAAACAATGTGGGTATTGGTATATGAAAATTATTGCTTCTAACAAACACTAAAATCCAAGCTTGTACGCAATGTTCGTGACGAACGAAACGACAAAGTATTACTCTTATGTTGCCATGCGTTAGTTGTTGTGTGGCTTGAGGTTCAGGGAGGTTTAGTTCTTTCTCCTGGCAAGAAAAAGTAAATGCGCTATGTTTTGTATACATCTGCAATAATAGAATCCATGGGTAAATAGCAAACTAAGGCGGTGTTTTATGGCATGAATTTTTTTGGTTTCCATACCAACGTGAATTGCTTTTTTATAGTGTCGGTTCCATAAGGTTATGTTTGGTTTGAAGGAAAAAACAAACGAATTAAAATCATCCGAAAGACACAAAAATGGTTGTGTATGTTTTTCTAAAACTGAAACAAAAAAAAAAAAGTCCTTGGATTTCTGCTTTTAAAAATTTGTTTTTATTTTATGAATCATTATTTTGATGGTTTCAAAAACATGTGTTGGCTTAATATTCATGTTATAGAACGCCTCCTTAGTTTTTATTTTAAAAGGAAAAAACACTGGCCAGTTTTATTTCAAAGAACAATACATATTTTTAGAACCAACAAAATAATAATGGCTTTTAAAATAAAAAACAAAATTTTATTTGTAGTGTAAAAATTGTATGATTTATAGAGCATGCTATTAAATATAATCAGAAAAAGCATGCTCAAGTTTTAAACAAGTAATTAAAAAATATATTTATTTTTTGTTTGTTTCAGTTTTGAGTACAAAAAACACATATAAAACCAAGAATAAGTTTTTAAATGAAATGGTTTTGCTTCATTTTTAGAAATCGCCGATATCAAGAAAAACAATTGATCACGCGGTAGAGAAGAAAAACCTATTCAGGACCTCACCTTAATGGGGCTTAATTATATATAAGCTTTTAGCTAGGTTGAATGGTTCTTAATTTGAGAGCTCACCTGAGGAACACCGGCCAACGTGAAGTAGAAGCTGTTAATGGGAAGGTCTGCTATCACCATTTTCTGCGTAGGACCAACCAAGCTAGTCATTGTGATGCTGGCGTTCTTCCATGTTGAGTATATATATCGAGATGCAGCCTAGTAGATGATGACCACAACATACCAATTAATTAATTCATATAATTATCAGTTAGTGATAATTAATTAACAAGAAGGAGAAGATGATGAGTTGTTGTTGTTAAATCAAATAATCAATTAAATAACTAACCTCTGGGCCTCTGATGCTCCTCAAGACGTGAAGCAATCTATTGTTGAAGAAGAGAGCCATGGAGTTTCTCCTCCTCCTCATCTCTTTCTTTGCTTGGACTACGAAATCCATGGGATCCACTTTGTTCACGTCCACGTTGGATGGAACCGAAACGTGCAACAAGCTAAATCGGTTTCCCCATATGTTAGCCTTGAGCATGTCGCCTACTGTCTTAAACCCTTTCAACATCCTTGCGTTCAACACCACCAAAGATGTTATCCTCGCCTTCTTTGATACCTTCCCTACTCGTTTCATGTACAGTTGGATCGCGTATGATATGATTCCGGTCACCGCTTCGTTCACAGTCTGCTCTAAGTTCAATCAACAACAAACTTGTTAATTAATTAGTTAATTTCCAGTTTTCCTGGAACTCGATCGACTGGGGTTGGTCGAGTTTTCAATTGTGTTGATTAATTAGAAACATATATATATATATATATATATATATATAGAACTGTGCATGTGTTAAAATTAGAACTGAAGATCGAATTAAGCTCATGATTAATTAATTTTTAAGAAAGTTTGATTACCCCGCCAAACTTGGACTGGATTCGGCCTAGGTCGTCGAGGGAGAATGTAATGGATGAGATGGAAATCGGTTCGTACTCGACTTCGGGCAACCCAGAACGGATTGCGGTCTTATCATCTTCCAGAAACGTACCAAACAACACACTCCGAGCAGAGTCGGTAAGAGTGTTGACGCATACAGTTAGAAAGCTACACAATCTAGACCACTTACTTAACCCTCCTGTACCTTGCATCATTCTGGAGGACATGGAAGGGAAAGTAAGCGGAAGCGAAGGATCATCCGCCCTTTTCAGGCAGGAAAACAGTGCACCGATGAGTGAGTAGCCATCACCAATTGCATGGTTGATCTTAAACACCAGAGTGGCCTCGGCGTTGGTGGACGGGTAAGGGATGACATGGACGTTCCACAGAGGCCGGTTTTCTGGGAGAGGGTCCATTGTAATCTTGGACAAGTACTCGTTGGTGTAGTCGTCATAGTCTTCTCTGGATAAACCAGAAGGGAAGGTGGGGATGAGAATGTGTTCGTCGATATCAACCTCCACCTTCTTCCATCTCTGCATTCCCTTCTTGTCGGTGATGATGACAGAAGAGAAGCGATCATTGATGGGTATGAAGATATCTTGGAGAAACGTAGCAGTTTGGGATCTGTTGAGCGGGGCACCCAGCTCGTACACCCCGATTATGGGAATTGAGAGGCTAGAACTGTTAATGCACTGAGACAGTGGGCTCAGAGGGGGTAGTGTATGGACTTCTTCAAGTAGAAGAGCTTGCTTTTCCTTGAAAGAAACCATACTAGCTAGCTAGCTAAATCAATGACGATTAATTATCTTCTTTTTGCTGCTTGCTGCAATTCTGAGTTCTCTCTCAGCCTTCTTATAGGAAAATTAAACAGACCACCAAGCACCAACGCGACGATGATTATTGATGAACGTCGGCTCACTCTCATTGAAAAAAGTTATTTACTTCTCGAAAGCTGCTTGTATGGTCGTAATGTGAAGGTATTTTACTTAAATGCATTATTATGAACTTTTTTTGTCTGGTTGCTTAATATTTTCTTCTGTGGGGACTGCCAAATGCATTAATAATGGATTGATTCAACAACCACTAGATCAGATATCTAGTGCATTGCGTTATGTACAAAAGATTATATTCAAATCGAACGGCTATTATTGTCTGGAAGGAGTGTACTAGATCGCTTATCTTTTTTTTTTTTTGGGTAAAATCTTAATGAAGCAACCGTCTCCATGAAGACTGAAAAGATAAAACTCTAACCGCAGTATGGCGAGGGCCTATCGCACTGTTCCATTATGTCTCTTTCTATCTTTTTTAGCTGGCCTTTACTTTCTTTCCAGTTTCATTTGTCGTCGTCTTTGTGGCAAGCCGCCAAGTTTGGAAAAAATGAAATCGGACTCAGTCACGTCACTGGGTTAATTTACTCAGTAAATTCCATCAGTCTTTATTTAATTAGCTCTGCCAAGTATTTATATTTACAGATGCTAATATCAGAGTTGCTCATGCTTAATTTCCTTGTTTTAGGCGTAGCTTTGTCATTTAATTTGGTAGAGTACTTAGTTGTTCAAGTAATTAACTTCCACGATGGAGTATATATATATATATATATATATATATATATATATATATATGAGTAGAAAACAGAGGTATCATTCATGAAAATGCATGATAGCTAGAAAACAGCAACAAGATCAAACTTTTCGATAGCTGCGTACATTTATTGGATTATGACCAAAGATATTTGATATGTAAGAAAAAAAACTATTGATGACTTAATGAAATATTGAATATTCTGGCTCTTTGACAGTAAACAGATTTGTCTTTTTACCTTGTGAATTTCCTGTTTTTTTAATCCTTTGATGCATTGCATCCAGATCCCGCGTTCCTGAATAACAGGCTGTTACTTCGACATGGATGCAAGGAACCCGCCATTGAGACGTCTTATTCCTTGCTATCACGGGGAAACAAGAAAGCGAAATGTATCATGGGCAGTTCCAATCCAAATCCTTTATAGAAATGAATACCACTTGATTAATTAGCAATTAGATGATACTGGTTGAATGGTTATTATGATCTTTTTAGGTGCCATCTTTGAATGCCCTATGTAGGCTAAATTCTTTAAATAGAGTAGGCAGGGCAAACCTGATTTACACCCTCCATATCATAATCGAACCCATGATTTAATAATGGATATGATATTAAATAGAACAGAAGAGTGAAACATGACTTAGATGGTGATGATGATAATCAAGTTGGTTGGAACATCTAATAAGATCTGCTTTCCCAAATGTGCAAATAATATCATTTTTTGGAAATTTATATTGTGCCTGAAAACTTTAGCCCATCAGAAGACTAGGACGAATTTAAATGAATACCAGTTTATCTAGTAGCAAGTAGATGCTGGCTACCAGTTGATTGGTTGGTTACCTTTTACAAAAAATTTATACTATATTGAAATTTGAATGGCCGACTAACCCCTCTCCTTGAGGAAGAAAAAAGATATAACTCTTGAGTTTTTCCTGGATCAAGCAATCGGTTTTGTTTTATTTCAAATCTGGTCTTCGCCCAAAAATCATTGAATCCGTTAATGATTCATTGACTTGGGTGATCAAACCGTTGATCCATTAACCCATTTAACAGTTTTGATCATTTTTATTTTTAATTATTATTTTTTATTTTTGTTGTTAGGACGGGCCCATTCATTCGAACTAAACAATTGAACCGTTGACCTAGAAACCGGAGGTCATAACGATTCCGTTTCCGAATTGTTTATATATATATATATATATATATATATATAATAGATAAATAGATATTTGAATAATCCATGATTATCACACGTGAGAGTACCTGCACTACCGGTGACCAATGGATAATCCATGATTATCACACGATGCCAAAACCAATAATAGGGAACAGTTTTTTTTATTATATATATATATATATATATATATATATATATTGTGTTAAGTTGCGTTGCGACTTATATTGCGAGTGTAGCCCCCACAAAATTGGGGTTTCACATGGCGGGCTGTTAAGTTGTAACATGAGAGAGAATAATTGAGAGAATGATAACAAAGAAGGACCACGATGACTCCTCACACATTTTTCAAGTGACTATTTTTTTTTAGAACAATGAGTAAGCAACGCGTTCACACATGGTGCAGACGAGGGAAAGGTTAAACGAATCGAGTTTGGATTTCGTGCACCCGGCTTTGTGTGTACTGGGGTGCACTCCCAATTCCCTATCAAATTGGGACGCGTTCCAATTTGCATAGTTCTCCAACTCAAATATGCGAACTATTTAGCGGTGTTGTTTGGCATTCATGCCGTTTTTTTTCAGAAAATGGTGTCATATTAGAGAAAACAGTGCTTCAAATCTCTTTTTATTTGGCATCATTTTTCAGGAAAAGAAAAAGCATTGCTCTAAACCATGTCTTGGAAATCGGAAGAGTGTGGTCCGGAGCAATGTCATATTCAATGTTTTATAAGAAAACAATGGCATTGCTGCCAACGCTGCAATGATGTGGCATTTTCTTGGATGTTCAATAATATAGACTATGTTAAAAATGTTGTTGCCGACACTAGTATCAAACAAAACCAATTTTGCCTTCTTAGAAAACAGCCTATGTGGCAACACCAGTTCCAGACAAAAAATAATCATTGTTTCTAAGGGGTAATAGCATATAAGGGTAACTTTTGGGGTTTAATATCAATAAAAGTAATATATTTAAAAAAAATTCAAAAATAGGTTAACTTTTTAAAAATAATATCAATAAAGGGCAAAAACACTGTTCATCTTCTTCTTCTTGCCATTTGTTCACCAGAGCCGTTACCCGCCACCGTTGTTCGCTACTGTCCGCCGCTTCCTCCGCCCACCCCCACCTCCGCCTCTGGCAACGCTGCCGGAGGTGGCCGGAGGCAGATGTGGCAGTGGCGATGCTGGTGGTTTCTCTGTCCAACGCCGTCACCTCCACCTCTAGCAACATTGTCAGAGGCAGAGGTGGCGGTGGCAGCATTGGTGGTCATTCCTCTACCCGTCGACGCTGCCACCTCTGTCTCCACCCATCTCCGACAACATTGCTGGAGGCGGAGGCAAAGGTGGGCGGAGGTGGCGGCATTGGACAAAGAAACCACCAGCGTCGTTGCCATCGTCGCCGCCACCTCTACCTCCAACCACCTCCGACAATGTTGCCAAAGGCGGAGGTGGGCTGTTAGACAGTTTTGTATGCCCTTAGCTTCAATTAGAATGATGTACTTTATGAGTTTATTGTAAATGAATAAAGAT